ACCCATATAACCCTATGTATTTTAACTTGCCCTCCCCTAAAATTTTAATTACCTACCTCATGATGATATTTTAAGGGTTAATTTACATTTGAGGAAACATCATAGACACCCACATAATTCTGAGCACTTTCTGCGTAATTAAGAAAAGCAGCAATGTTCATGCTACCCTGAGAGCGAGAGCCTGCAGAACTACTGGTTACATTCGAAGTACTTGTCATACAGGTTCTAAATTGCCCTGGGATGCATGGGTTGCATTACCTGGGAAAGGGTGCAGCGGCAAGGCAAGCAAGTTGTTCTGAGTATCATCATGTGTGTTGAGCACACCTGGTCTTTCCCTGAGACCGTCCCCAGGACTGGAAGCACGTAACATCCCGAAGATGGAAGACAGAGGGAGGTGGCTCACTGGCATTTTCAGCAGATTGAAAGGAGGTGGCTCTTGGTGATGTTGTGGATATTCTCAATTCACCTGCAACAAACAAGACCCTAGTGAGAGTGAATTGACTATCACATTTTTAAAAGGGCTTACAAAGGTCTTTCACAGGCAATAGGTACGAACACTAGGCATTTACATCAAAAGTGAGCATGCTATCCTGTAAAAATAGTGAATCTACCCAATTATTTATAAAAATACTCAGACTACCATGAGTAGATCCCGTATTGCACATAGTTCAAGGTATTTCACTTTTAGTCCTGCCTGGGGCATGGGATGGAGTTTCAGAGCCATCCTCACATTTGGTTTGTATCAGCTAACTCCAAACAGCTCTCTCATCAGCCTGTAGACTTCCTGGTCTGTCTGTCAAGGTATCTGCTTTTTCCATTGAATTGCAGAGGAAGCATAAGGGCTTAATTTTGGCTTCTAGATTGTAGTTTGGAGGTTAGGAGCTAAAATGGAAATACTACAGTGCTTAACATGCTCACACCTATTTTCTATTGGCTGCAGATCAGATCTTTGTTCTAATATGGATGACTTCATTTGTAATAATAGCTATGGTTACAAATAGGGTTCCTGAAACCCAAGAGAATTCATAATTAGCATGAATTATGAACATATTCCCCCAAATTGTGGTGCTTTTTTTTCTACCTCTGAATGGAAAATGAACAAATGTTGTCAGAAAGAACCCTAGGGAAGCTTTCACTCCTCCTACTCTAATGGTGAGTAACTTGACACACCCTTGAACATGAATCGGCTCCATTTCATAATCTCGGCAATTTGGGATTTTCCAAGAAGAAAGTCCAGAACTGATTAAAACATGCAACTGTGTGTGCTAAGACAAATTCCCATCTGCTGTATATCTTATACTTTACATCCTGATTCTCTTATCACATCAAATCTCTCTTCCCTAGTGATTTATTTGGCACGTACATGCCTTGCCAAGTTTCCTGCACTTGAAGTTTTGAGCCTGATGGTAGGATTTGACCATGCAACCTTTCTCCTCCCTTTATGTCTTCAGATGCCATGTGGTAAATGTGGTACCCTCTGCTCCTGCTAGTCAGGTTGATTCTCATGACTTCCTTCCCATTAGTGTAGTGTGGGGTGAATTCCTTTAATGAGTTGGAGTAATCAGAACGGGTTTAGCCTCTTGAAAAGATGTTTTTCTTTTTTTTCTGTGAATCTGTAACTCCTGATCACCTTGTCTCTGACAGGAGTCCTGGGTGCCCCCCAACTCTGCAATGCCCTATGGAGAGGCTTGTTTTCATCCTTGGACTGGGGATATGCTCTTTGAACTGGCGCATCAGTGAGCGGGTTCTGCCACTGGGGAACCAGGAGCTGGGATCCCTGTTGCCCTTGGCATGCTCCAACAAGAAGCATCCCTCTGCCAAGAGTTCTCAACAGTTGTTTGCGCCTGCAGCACAGTTGGCTTGCAGACACCGATGTAACTCCCACTATTGCACACAAAATTCAATCCAATATGCAATAATTGCAGTTGATGCAAGTCAGCATGAAAGAACTCATTCCTTTCATAAAGGACAAATACCTTTAAGGGATCTGCAGAAATTACAGTGATAAAAAGGCTGCAAGTACTGTATAACCACAAAAGTTCAGCTAATGTGTGGAAGAAGGAACCCACTGATTCTGGGCTCTAGGCTGATGCAGAGCTACGCACTAGTTATGGTGATGTTTTTTTTGTTCTATCCCTCCTCTGCTGTCTTGTTAGCAATAAAATATAGCTATAAAATAACACAGTGATGGTACACAAGCAGGTGCATGCACCGGGTTGGTATCTTGTCTCTTACATAAACAAATGGTGTGGATAATAAAGGAGAGCATGGGAATGAAGGCACAGTCAGCTATTCCGAGTAAAAACAGGCAATTCTACAATTTAATCCCTGGTAGTCAGAGTGAAGAAAGCCCTTCCAGAAATAAGTTTCACACCCACAACTAGGTATTATTAACCCAAGCTTTTAAAAAACAGGAATCTAAATCTCTTCCTCTTTTTTTTGATTTCTTGTTTCTGAAAAAAGAGCAAACGAACCTTAACCACCCACAAAGCAACTCACCTCTCCCCCGCCTTCCCAAATTTAATTGTTTTGAATTCCAAATCCTGTGAGGAAGAGGCAAAAAGACCAAGGGTTTGTTGTTGCTTAAGGATTTGTTAGTCTTTTTGAGACATCACAGGGGAAAAAAACCCTCAATTTTCTCACCATACAGACAGCAGATTACAAAATTGAAAAATTAAAATTACAGGAACCTGGGAAAATAGAAGAAATGGAAGTATAATAAAACGGTTACCAAATCTGTATCTCTTTCCCAGTTGAAAAATGAAGGGGGTGGTAATTGCACATGACACTCCCTCATAGAGCTGTTCTGAGGAGTTGCCAATTAATGATTGTAAGACACTCTCATGCTACAATTCAGGACATATAATAATTTAAGATACTGTCAAAAATTGAATAATCTCATCTTTAACATAATAGAAACACTCCTTAAATAATGTCACCTTATCTGAATTATGTTCGAAATGGCATGTGACATGGTTAAACACACAGATTTACGTTCAAGAAGAACTAAAAGACTATTAAAAACCGCATTCCTAAAATGACTTTACAGAGGAGACCCTATCACTGCAATCTCTTATTACTTATTTTCAACTTTTTTATTCTTGTTTCTTATAACAAATCACAGCATTGTACACCTTGCATCTGCATACAAATCCTGAGTCACTAAAATTCTGTGCCTTTCCAAGACTGTGTGCTAATATAGACATGGGGAGAGAAAAAAAAAGAAAAACCAACCCAAGCAGCTGGGCAGATTCAGTAATGATGGGCACGGTCGGCCCTCATCTAAATGAGGTGGCAGTATAATAAGAAGTACGTCTTGTGACATGAGAACATGTGGTGCTGTGCCACCGTATGCTAAAATAGGGACACACCAAAGCCACCTGATTCCATTCCCTGGAAAATCCAGGCTTGTTTAAACAAAGCCTGTACTTTCTGCTTTTGTTGCTGATGGTGCTATTGATAAGTTAATGTTACTTGGGCCATCTTTCATTTTATCTGGTCTGCCAAAGGATCAGATTTCTGAGGTACCCAGTGACCTTTCCCTATCATACTCAAATGCTACAGCAATTTAATAGTGTGTGAACAAGGATACTTGCCTAAAGAATTTAATAGATTTACAAAAGCAAATAATACAGGTAGAATGTTATAAAACCAAACGTAGAATAAAAAGGCACTCTTACATATGGAACTTAGAGCATTACCCTGAAGAAATAAATACATAACTACGCTAAATTGAATTGAGGGGATTGCAGCAAGTCATTGAACTCATTTTTATTGCAGTTGGTAAAGTTTTTAGCATAGCAATCAGAACACCAACAAGAAAGAGACAAGAACCAAGCCTTATCCTTTCCAAACTACTTAACTTTTCTTTACCCATGGAGAACAACATAGTTGCTAGACCTTATCTAAAAGAAGCACTTCACTAGTTCATTAAATACATCTTTACTGAAGATAGCTAAATTCTTTTAAGTTCTATTGAAAAAGCTATCACTGGAATTCATGAGTAGTAACTTGTACAGTGATAAGCTATATTTTAATACCTTAAGTTGCTTAATAAGAAAGTACTGTGCAGAACTCAGCAACGACCAAGTACAGCATAAGTAAGCTGAAAACCCTTCAATATGTTTTTTCTCCTGCTGCTGTAATGGAACACTAGCACTTCCCCAGTGCTCCTTCACTGAGCTATTGCAATAGCTCATACTGAAGAATAAATTAAAGCACTCTCTGGGGTTTTTTCTTACAGTAATAAGTATTCGTTGGAAATAAAATACACTTCCTTATTCTCCCATGTATTGTTCAAGACTAAATCTTATGATAAATACATTCTCTCCTTCCCAAATCTGGGTCCTCAACTCACCAATCTCTTTAAAAAATAATAATAAACCTGGTACGATTAGCACATTTTATTCATTTACATTCAAAATGATCTAAAATGAAGCCCTCTTCTAACTCTAGGCACTTTAACATCATTAATAATATAATAAAACCCTGGCAGCATTAGAATAATTATTTCAACAGGAAACTAACCATTCAGACCTTTACGGATACCTTTCCATCCTTCATCATGCTGGGAAATAATTTTAAATCTCTTCACAAAACGCTATCAAACAGAGGTCTTTTGCACAAAAAAGATGACCAGATTCAAGCTATTTCAGATGATGACAGAAAACAAGTCCCACAATCCCGAAGAATGCCCTGCCACCTGCTTGTTCAGTTATATTAGGAAAGAAAAACAACTGTCTGCCAATGACTTGGATAAACTGTTCTCCAATTGTTTAAAGCTTTACAAGGCAGAACCAGTACCTTAAATACACGCAGAAAACAGTGGTCATCTGAATGGATGCCAGGCAAGATGTTCTGCTTCATAAAGGAACTGCTGGTTCTGCTCCTATCCCTCGGGCAGGTGGTCACAGCAGCAGCTGTAAACACCATGTATTCTGCGCCTCATTTGCCATCAATTCCCACAGCTGTCTTGTCAAATATTTACAGCCTGTGGGAACATGGCTGCAAGTACGCTGGTTTGCCAGGCATCCTTGAAAATGCATGTGTTACGGATGTCATGCTCAGACGGCACTTGTGTGGTAAGCTGAAATGTATTCAGAACAGCTTTGGGGCGATCTATTGCAGACAGTACAAAACCCCACATTTTCTGGAAAAGTTCAGTTACAGGGTGCGCTCCACACCACTCTTGGATTGCCCACTGCAACGGTTACTCATTTTGAATGCACCAAAGTAATTTAAAAGCTACTTCAGTATTAATGTAATGTAATCTTCACACTAATAGTTCAAAGTCAAAGTAAACAAGTTTCAACCACACACACAAATGCTTTCTCCTTTTTTAAGTTACCATGTGCATACCATAAAGACAAGTCTCACTTTATCCTTTGTAATCACTGTGATTTTTTTTCCCTATACAGTTATTCAGATCTCATTCCAGAATTCATCATCAAGTTAATTAACAGATTTCAGTTTCTTCTGTGTTTAAGGGGAGATCGTTTGTGGCTTGACTCTGAGAAAATGCACAAAAGAAGGCGGCAGCTTGTTTTTCAGCTCCTGTCTTTGCATTTTCTGTTCAAGAACCAGGAAAAAGGGAAGAATGTAAATTAGGAAGCCCATGTATCTCGCAGGACTAGCATCACACATTTCTCAGAAGGCAGAGAAATGACAGCACACCTTCTATTCTCAAGACAGAAAAACTTATCATGCACCATTTCAGGGGTAGGGTTTTTTTCATGTTTCTCTGCCAAGCTGCTGATCTGAAATCTTATTTATGTTTCATTCATCCCTCTTTCAGTAATAGCAGCTCCTCCACTGGTAATACAATTGTTTATATTATGATAATGCCTCAAATGAGGGTAAGACTACGCCATGCAAACATATGAAACATACAAATATATATAATGTACAATATAGGAAATCTATCAGGATTCATTTGGTGCGTTCTGATTCTCTTGACCTTAAGGCAATTTTACATAACTGATGTTCAAGTTGTGAAATATTTCTTGGAGGATTATTATCCAGACTTTATATGAAATTTTCTTGTAAGTATCTATTGCTTCAGAAATTTAAATGGAAATGCAGAGAAAATTTTCCTAGTAATCTCAAGAGTGTAAATTTAGGAAGCAAAAGGCCAAAACCTTTAGATTTTGTCTTAGTAAGTATATTCTGCAGCCAAGAGCTTAATTCAGATCAGCTTTTTTGTGGAGCATAATTATTTCAAGGCCAAAAAAAAAATTGATTCTAACGCTCATGATTATTAACGAAATGTCTACTTCTGGCATTTAAAATTTAAACCATGATGGTCCCACTAGAATAACCTGACACTGTGCATATCACGGACCATCAGATTTCAACCTGTAATCATCCAATAAAATAAAGCATAACTTCTGCTTGGCTAAAAAATAATTTTCAGATATACATCTAATCTTCAACAGAAGCCATAAAACGATGGAAAATCCTCAGCTTCTCTTGGGAATGTGTTCTGGTGGTTAACCATGTAAAAATGTGCATCTTATTTCCTATTTGAATTTGTCTGGCGTTTGCCCCTGGCCTTTACTTCTTATTATGCCGTTCTTCAATAGATTAAAGACCGCCTTAATATCCTGTATTTTTCCCCCAGGAATGTTCCTACACACTACAATCAAGTCACCTCCCAGTTCTCTTTTAGATAACTCTTAACAGCTTGAGCTCTTAAAACGTCCCAGTGTAACGCATTTTCTCCAACCATCAGAACATTTTCCTTCACTTTTGCTCTTTCTTATTTTCCAATGTGCTTCTTAAAAATCTGAAAACCAGAACTGTAGGCACTATGCTGTGGATGGCATTGTTGAGGCCAAATATTAGAGGTAAAATAAACAGTTTTTATTCCTTTGTTTACACATTGATTAATCCTTTCCTGCTATAGCAGCATACAGGAGAGCCCTTATCTGATTGCTTACTTATTCTGACCCTTAAATCCTTCTCAAAGTCATTACCTTCCCAGGCTATAGTCTTCTACTCTCCTGTTACAGCCTCCCCACTTGGTTCTTAAGACAGACAATTTTAGAGTTGGCTGGATTAAAATTCACTAAGTTTGAATGGGCTGCTTCTACCAACTGTTCTGACCAGTGCCCCATCCTCATCATTATTTACAACTCCATTAATCCTGGAGCTGAATTTTTGCAGCAGCAGGTTTAGATCTGCTGCCAGATCATTGCTAAAAATGTAGTAAAACATAGAACCTAGTATTGGAACTTCTTTAGACACCATCCCTTTCAACTAAGTTCTCCTATTCTTGAGATCTGGCAGCAAATTCCATTTACATGGTTTATTGGCACTGCATGCACTCAATGTTAATGAGAACATCACGCAGCGCTGCATCAAGTACCTCCTCAAAACAGTATTAATAGATCTTTTTATTAAAACATTGTGTAGACTCATATTATATTCCTTCAACTTTTTATGATTTGAATTCCACATCAGATTTTCTATTTTGGTTAGCATAGCTATTAAGCTAACTAGTCATTCTGGTCATATTGTTCACCCTTTTCAAAAATGGCACAAAGCAGCACATTTATCACTTGTTTAACCTCCTAATTTTAAGGCAAGATACAAATACAGTGGAGTACTAGCAAGCCATAGATCAGTATCAGTTGCATCGGCAGAAGCATCAAACAGCACCGGTGACCAAAGCGTGCCATTTCTCACGGCATTTCCAGGACGAAAACCCCCAAAACTGTGGAACTCCAAAGT